ACATGCATGTTCGAGTAGCTGCTATGCTTAGGCTGTTGGTAGCATGAGTAACCTGTCGTTACTCACAAGTAGGGAATGTTATTATTATTCTCCTAATAAAATGATGGAAATAAAATGGTGACCAGGCAGGGATAAGGAATGGGATATTGGTGGGTGTAACAAGTCGTGTCCCGCGGCCAACGGGGCTTAGCTTGGTTACACTGTTTTCCCTGTCCGTGTCGATTGAGGACCGTCCGTTGCTGTAGATGGTAGTCAGATCACAGACTTATTATCCTGAGTACATACTTGCTTATGAGAGCGGGGAGGCTCGTTGCGCTCTTGTCGTGGGTTCCGGCTCTTTTCGGACCGACTGATTGGAGGCGGGGAAAAGTGGAGGTCTAAGGACTAAAATACACTTTGATTATTCATGAATGAAACCAAGCGTCAAATACAATGTTTAGGGACTAAAATACACTTTGGTTATTCATGAATGAAACCAAGCCTCAAATACAATGTTTAGGGACTAAATCGGTCGCTTTGATAGTTCTGGGATGAAATCGAGCCCAAAAGAAAAATTAGGGACTGAAATGACCATCTTTAAAGTTTAGGGACAAAACTTAGTCTCGTGCGATAGTTAAAGGACCAAAATGTGTATTCCTGAAATTAAAAATGATAGAGAAAGGCACACTTGGAGCATATACGTACCTATCGAGAAGAGGAGTGTATATACATATTATGACAGTATACTCGACAAGGTACAGACTGGGTCTTAGGTCTTAGAAACGTACTCCGAGCCTAGAGACCAGGACTAGAAGAACACTCCTCGCTCTGATCTCTCAAAGGAGACACCTTAATCTATGACACGAAATTGAAACGCGTGTCACTAATGTGATATCAGTGACGCGGGTGAACGGAACGCGTCGCTGGTTAGTTATCGCCCATGGCTAGTAAACAAAACGCGTCACTAATGACAAGTTAACAGTGACTCTTTCTAAATAGACGCGTCACTGATATGAACTGTGGCTAGGAGTGACGTGTCCCACCAAGCGCGTCTCATCGGACCCGAAAAAAATATGTAACCCCGTTAGCTGAGAGGTCAAGTCTGGACCCATCTCTGTCGCCCTCTGTCTCCTTCCATCCATCCGCCCCCCTGTCCCCTCTCTCTCTCAACTGCGCTGCGCCCGCGGCCACCACATCCCCCGTCGCGACACCAGTCGCACTCGTGGTTTGCTCCCCTGTTCGTGACCTCGTCAACCATGCGCGAAGAGCGCAGCTCCTTCCCCGTCCTCAACAATGGCGCTCCGGATCTCTAGCCTTCGGATCTCCTCCCCTTGCACGACGACGACCCAGATTTGCCCATAGCCGCAGCTCTGAAGGTGGAGCTTCATCTCCTAGGTGAGTGGCTGGCGGACCCTCTCTCCCTCTTCCTAACTCTCCCTCACCCTCACCCTCTCCCTCACAGATCGATCCCGGCGGCGCTTCTTTCGTAGAGGTAGCGGCGGTGAATCATGGCCGTCGCCTCGGCGGACTCCTCCGCGCAATCTGGCGAGGTGGTGCGGTCCGTAACGAGCGTCGCAGCGAGCCATGTTCTTCATCTGCGGCGGTGGCGCGATGGGTCCTGATGCGCGGTGGTGGTGTCGGGGTGAGGACACGTCAGTGGCGCCACCGTGCCCAAGCATGATGGCAGTGACGACGCCGAGCTAAGGTAAGAGGTCCCAAGGCCCAAACTTAGTAGAAATTAGGGTTTCCATTTTGAAATTCGGGGTAAAAGGGCGAAAATTGTGATCTAGGGTTTCGGGAATTTTGGGAAAAGTTTCAATTTGGCCATGATTTGCAAATTCTCCTCCTACATGCTAATCCGAACCCTAGTGGCTTAATATGCACCGTCTTAGCATAAGACATCATCAACAGGGGCTAATTAAGGCATGAACTTGGCTTAAGGTAGAACATTAAGCATTAAATTAGGCATAAAATGCATTAACCCGTGACTAATCATGACAATTAACTAAACCTAGGCCTTAGTGTTACTATTATTATTAATTTTTCGCATTAAGACTCAGTGCATGAGTATTACATATACTGCTTTTCCATATAAGAGGTCTTGAGCATTCATGCTAATACTGAACCGAGTTTGATGGAGGTTTGTATTAGGCTGTTTTTTTTAATTTATCTCACTTTTTATTATCATTACATGAATGGTGTTTCTAACCAAATCGAGTGCAGTAATTTTCTTTGGAACTGAAATTATTACACTGTTGTAACAAAAAATACTTACAGGATGTGCAAGGAGAATTGCTAGCTACGTATATAGACAAAACTGAAGAAACAGAACTCTGTATGCTAAATGTTTCTTTGTGATGAAAAAGTTTGATAGATCGAATCACATGCCTATATATGCCAAGAGTTGATAGGGGTATAATCTTACTGAAATTTTTATGATATATTCGTTACTGTAGGTTGAAGATCTTTCAAGGATGTTCAGGCTCCTCTCTAGGATTAATGGTGGCCTGCCTCATGTATCTAAAATATTCCGGGAGGTATCTTCTATGTTGTATTGCATTGCACTTTTAAACAAGTTCACTTCTAAACAAGTTCTATTTTCTATGCTGTATCTTCTAAAATATTCAAGGATGTAGCGATGAGTGGGTCAAAGAGTTAATTTTGCTTAAGGCCTATCAAAAAAATTGATTTGAGGCTATTGACATCTCGCAACTGTTCTTTAGTAAATATTTCAGAGAAAGAAATAACTAGCAAAGTGTATTCAGATTAATGATACAAGATTTCTCTGATTATCAGTGTACAATTTTATCTATAATACTGTACCAAAATAAAAATGTATACAGTTACATTATTTTGCCGTGTCCTTGCAGGCTCGGCAACCTGCGGAGCTGACTGGTTGGTTTTTTATTTTCAAGAGCTGATCAGTAAGTTACAATAAATTGATTACTTACTGCAATTTAACCTTGCATTCTTGATGCTGAGCGGCTAAATATTTGCGGCCACATTTCAAGCTTTAGTCACTAGTAATTCTTGAACAGGTACTGCATTATCTGGTTGTAAAGTATTTTCTATATTTTTCCCATTTTATTAGCATGATCCTGAACCATAGATATATATATGGTTGTTGTGTTCTGATGTTATCAGTGAAGTATCCTCTAAGCATTTGTTGAGTATGTGAGTAACGAATTACATCACAGTTCTAAGCAATGTAGCATGCCCTTGTAGTCACTTCTCTATTTGGCTGTCATTAGTTTTGCAGCACATGTATGTTCTGATATACTCTTCTCATAAATGTTGGCCTTACTGCTTCAAGAACTCCATTTTCACCTTGTGCTTTAATCCTGTGCAATCTGAGATCATAAATTATGCCTTAAAACTAAGCCATGAAACACATATTTGGTCCCCCCCCCCACACACACACACACACACACACAAATTTTTTGGTAGCTAACTCAAGTATTTTATTTTCTGTTGTTTAGGTACTTGGTGCAGAAAGGAAGCACCAGGGAAGATAGGTGAGAGTATTTTTGTTCTCAGATGTAAGCCTGTCTGCAATTGCAATCCTTATTGTGTTCACTCTATTGTACTTATTAAGATTATCATCAGGTTCTAATTATTTTCCTGAGCCAGATTGGTTTTTTTGGTGCCAAATTTGACAGAGAGGAACACATAAATTTGGTAGATAAATAGCCTATTAAATTCCAATTACTAAAACCATGTGATAGATAAATAGCTGGAGTAGTCATGAATGATAACTATAACATTATAGTGTTCTGCACAACCCTTTAATCAGCTAGTGATTGCTTCCTTCTTCCTTATATGCTTTGCTGCTCTTACTAAGGACCAAAACTTCTAATCTCAATCAATAGTTGGGTTGTCCTAGTGATAATACTGCTGAAGGTGTTATTTTCATATTCATTGACAGTAGGTTTATATGCTAGGAAGTATATTTGTGTGCATGGCTGTGCACAATCTTAATTAAGCCATGGCAGTGTCAAAAATTGAGTAACCACATTTTCGTGAAACACATGCATCTGAGTAGGATTCAGAACTGAATTTTCTAAACTGGTTCTCATTAGAGTATCTGTATTGCCATTTCATACATTAGAGTAACCTCTAGACTTAACAACTACCTGTTGTTTTGTTGTAGCCTGGGAGCAGTTGGCCTACATTGAGCTGAGAGGAAAGGTATATGTATTGCCATTTATTCTATAAAGCAACCGTCACATTTCCATAGTTCTGGTGGATACTCTATGTAATCACTTACAATTTAATAGATTGTTATGTATTTTGATCATGAGAACTTACTGTGTACTGTGAACTATTTTTTAAAAAACTTACTGTGAACCATATTACTATTATGTATTTTGATCATGAGAAAATTTTCAGACCTTTTATTGCCGAGTGTACTGTGTATTGTGAACTATCTGTGCAGAGTGTTTTAATAGCTGAAATGTACCATTTTGTGAAAACATGGGGTTTAGAAATGTACACCGTGCATCTAGATTTCTTTTTTGTTTGTTTTTGTAATTGTTATTAGTGACGTGTATTCTCAATACGCATCGCTGCTATCTCGACATCAGTGACGCGTTTTCTCAAAACGCGTCGTTGCTATCTTCACATCAATGACGCGTTTTCTCTAACACGCGTCGCTGCTATCTTCACATCATCACTAATCTCTTCACATCACAGACGCAATGTAAGTGACGTTTTTTTCCGCGTCACTAATGACCCTCTGGACGCGTCCCTAATTAGCATTTCTGACATAGATATGCTATGTCACCAAGCAGGCGTACAATACAGTGTACGTATTATTGTACACGACGGAGAGATTTTATTCATGGACTCATCATCTTATAGATATGCTATGTCTAGCTAGCAGCTAGCAGAGGTTATTGGAGTGAAGGGGTAAACCCTCAGGCACTCGGCATACCTACTGTTTCCGGTAATACCGGGGCATCCTGCGTCGTCGTCTAGCTCACCCTGCATATATATGATGATGATCCAAGCACAAACTCCAGTCAGTACATGCATGCATGCACGTCGTCATTAATAATCCCACCTGTTATAGTCACAGAGATGCATGATGGATGATATATGGCCGGTAGAGATGCAGACCTGGAGCAGTCGATGGAGGGGCTGATGGTGTAGGGGATGCTGACGCCGCACTTGGCCGGGATGCTGGCGGCGTTGCCGGCGATGAGGCCGCCGACCTGGGCGGCGGCGGACTTGAGGCAGTTGCAGGCGGCGCGCCGGTCAGCGGTGGTACTGGCGGCCGAGTTGAGGCTCCGGACGCCGCTGCAGCAGGCCGGCGAGGGGGCGCTGCCGCTGCCCCGGGCGTAGGGGATGCAGGGCCCGATGGCGGAGCTGACCTGGCCGCACGTCACGGTCGCCTCGGAGGAGGTTGCTGCCGCTAGCAGCACCGCCGCGGCCACGACGGCCGTCGCCACCACCAGCTGCGCGCGGCGAGCCATGTCGTCGGCCTGTGTTTGCTCGCGCTAGCTGAGTAGCTGTTGCTTGCTGCACTGTGCGCCCGGGAACGAGAGTGAGGGAGCAGCAGGTGGGTGGGTGGTGGGGACTGGGGATGGAGTATAGTTGTCCAAACGGGCCACGCCCGCTGAGCCAGCACAGACCCAGTGTGAAAAAGCACGGCACTGGCCCCGGTGAGGCACGTCAGGCCTCGTGCCCGTGCCTGGCCCTGCCCGACGTCGTGCCGGTGCCTGGGCTGCCACACCGGCCCGGGCATGGCACGGAAATTGGGCCGGCACTATACTGGCCCGATTCGTATGAACCGTTGGATGTTTGATATTCTTTTTAAGCCGTTGGATGTACTCGATTGGAAAACCCTAGAATAAAAACATCCTAGCCGGCCAGCTGACCGCTGCTCCCATCCGGCCATCCCTCCCCGCGCCGTTATCGCTCGCTCGCGCGGAGGCAGCCCCCACGCCGCTTTCTCTCGCTCTCCAGACTCCAGCTGCTCCTCTTTCTTGCTCGCTTCCCCAGCAGGCCGGCGGCTGGCCGCCTCTCCCTTGCCGCGCCGGAGGCTGGTCGCCGGGGCAGGCCGCCACCGCCTCCCCCTCGCTCGCTACCTGAACGCCAATTGCTGCTCCCGAATAGCGGACTTCCTTTCTCTCTTTCTCTCGCTCCCTCGGCCCTCTCCCGCTCGCCGAAACTCCCAGTGATGGCGTCCTCCTATCAGACGGCGACGCGAGGCCACGGGAACGGCAGCGATGACTGAGACGGCGAGGTCGCTCCTTGCGTGGAGCTGCAGTGCCCGGGCCAGCAAGGGCACGCCGGGCTGCCGTGCTCGATAGCACGGCACGGCACGGCTAACAGCCCATAGGGCCGTGCCTGGGCCGAGGTCTCGGCACGGCGGCACTATCAGGCATGGCACGGTTAAGCCACCGTGCCGCATAGTGCCGTGCCTAGCCGTGCTCGTGCTAGTGTCGTGCCGTGCGGGCCGGTTGGCCATGTATAGGATGGAGTGCAAAGGGATGTTTGGTCTTTAAATAGGGTTTATTTCGATCGTCGGCCTGCTGGGTCGTCGTACGCGTCGTGTGTGAGTGATGAGCTAGTGACGAGGAGGACGATGGTGACCGCGCGCTGCATGCATGCATGCATGGGTGGTGGCCGTCGTCGATGGATACATGTGTCCATCCATCGTCAGAGCTAGAGCCTAGAGGTGGCTAGCGGAGATGGATTGGGAACGAGGTAGTAGTTGGGTGTTGGGGCAGGCAGCAGGCGGAGACGGATACCCATTTGTTGCAGTTCGAGGTGCCAGCGCCCAGCAGCCGCTTTCACCTACTACTCCTGTTCTCACTCGCTCAGTGTCAGTGAGAGCCAGTACAATTATTAGCGGTGAGTTTGGAGTTGGATCCCAGTAGTGCTTATCAATTATACTCCCACAGTTTTCCAAATTATAAGACTTCTTGACCTTTTTAATTAGATACATTATTTTTACTATGTGCCTAGATGTACACAGTGTATATCTAAGCGGGCATATCTAGAAAAGTTAGAACATTTTATAATTTGAAATGAAGGGAATACTAGTTACTAGCTAGTATCACACAATAAAACATTGGATCCTTGCAGTATGGCCATGCGTTTATTAATTAACAGTTTAACACTTCCATCAGTAAGTAATTCTCTAACCATATGGATCCTTCCGGTATAAGGTAAAGTAAAATTTATGGACCACAAGATTCGTGCTCAACAGGAGAAAGACAACTACTGGGCACGAATCTCAGCGCGAATCTTGAATTAGCTTATGTGTTTATGTGATGAATTAGCTTATGTGTTTATGTGTTAACGCAGTAAAAACTTGTTTGGAACATTTTGGTATCTATCGTCTTTGCTAGTGAATAGTGATCGAAGATGCAAGCTAGGGATTATACATACATACATACATACATACAGTACGTGCTCGCGTCGATTGTCAGCTCTGCTCCATCTATCACCTGCATCGATCCGTGAACAGCTACATAGACATAGACATAGCTAGCGTGGAATACATACATACATACATATATATATATATATATATATATATATATATAGACACACACACACGTATATACTACACGGCGCGCGGTGCAGCGTACAGTTGCCATCTGTATGAATGCATAATAAATAAACAAAGACATTAAATGCGGAAACGAAATCTGCAGGGACGATTCTGGTTTTCCAAGGCGGTTCACCGATCGATTGTAAAGACGTGGCGAGTGGAGAGGTCTTGTTAAGAAACCCAACTCTCAAAATACATTTTTAGGGACGCTTGTTTGAGATAATCGTCTACAAAAATCGATTTCTAAGGATGCTTTTGCCTAAGACAACTGTACCTGAGAACATGTTTCCAGGTGTGATTGGCTTAATGAAACTGCCCTCGAAACCAATTTCTAGATGTGGTTGTCTTAATTAAGCAACCGTTCCTAGAAATCCGTTTTCTTTGTATCTTGTTCACACTCCAAATTATTCTCGATATCTTGTCCGGACTCTAGAGAATCAGGTCTGCTCTTTATCTTTAGGTTCCGCTCTTTATCTTTAGAGTGCAAGCAACTAGGAATAGAAGATGTAAATATTTAGAGATCTAGTGTAAAAAGTGTTGGAGGGGGTTTTGTTCACCAAAATTTCTATTCTTATCAATACATAAGAATATATAGAAGAGGCTCTTGGAGTTGCTCTGAGTTGGCTCAACAATTTGGGAAGAAATGATATGATAGTTCTAGTAACTGACCAGCAGCACTACTTGAAGCTAGGATGGACGGCAGACCAACAGAGAGAGGAGTTCTGAGGAGTGAAGGTGAGTAATCCGCGCACGACAAGGCATAGCATAGGCTACCCGGTTCAACTTGGCTGCCTGTTTATGTTGAACTGAATTTGAAATTTGCCCATCAGTTTAGTGAGTGCACGATGTATGTTGAATTGGCGTGTACACTCTCTACTCTCCTTGATATGCTCGTGTACTTCGATTGCATCGTTCTACCTAAAAGTATATATGCTTTGGATTATTGGACAATATGTGACAATGACCCAAGTTGTTGGTGACCACAACTGTCACCTGAAACGCACGCACAATGCCTTATGTAACAGTTGCTCTGAGATCAAGTAAAGTGTTAGTGCTTCAGATAGATCATCGTTTGGAACGGATAATCTCCAAGAACGTGGAGATGCCGGCCAGTGGCGACGCCGGCCGGAGCTCCGACGGCGACGGGGCAGGCCGAGGCAGCGCCATGGCGGCCGGAATGTAGGTAGTACAGTTGGAAAGGGCCCAAGGAATATGGGGCTGGGCTTTCCGTTTTCATTCATTGCTGGTTAGTGGGCTGGGCTACTGGACCGTAGCACGCAGATAAGGCCTACTACTAAGGTGCGCTTGCTTTTCATCAGCATCTCTATGATAAGTGCTATCCACATTGAGTCATTGACTCTAGCTGAGTCCCTGGCATTTTCGTACTGGCTGACTAGAACACATGACAAATTCAATCACTTGCTTCCCCTTTTGCAAATGAAACAGTAGAAAAAAAACAAGAAAAAGATCAGCCGATCCCATGCCAACAACAAGAAAAAGACTCCAGATCGATGACCTTATATGTGCAACCAAAAAAGGCCCTCTGCTCTCTGGTTTAGCAACAACATGATATACGCATCACTACCATTTAAGCAATTAGAGATTGAATTTAGTTGGTGAAAGTAATACCATACGTAAGCATATATAGCCATAGGCACTAAAAATAGATGAAATTCATGTTATATATAGTATAATGTAGCAGGTAAAGTGATAGTAAAGTTGGGACATACATACCTCTCGCGTATCCTTTTTCTTCGCGTGTTGTCATAACTTGTTGCCTCTCAACCCTCAAGACGTCGTATCAACCTCCACATTGGCTGCTTTAGAGGAAATTAAACCTTCCTTCGTTAAAGAGGCAAGCAGTATTGTCGCGCCTAATTTCATTTATAGTATATCTCTTTCTACTCCTTTAACTCTAGAACTATACTAATCCCTCTATTCTAAATTAGAAGACGTTTTTAATTTTTAGATATATTTTTGTTTGCTATGTACTTGGATATATACACTATGCTTATGTTTTAATATTAGTAAAAAATGTATCTAAAAAAGCCAATGCAAAAAGTCTTCTAGGTTATAATGGAGGGAGTACGTATATCATATGTGAGCTAATAAGTTTATAGCATGCCGAGATATAGCTAGCCCTCCTCACAAGTTGCCTTCTTTTTCTCGTGCACTTCTCCACAACTTGCCTTCTCTCTAGTAGTCTTGGCAGTGCTCGCTCTCATTATAATGGAATATTTAATTTGTCACTACTGCTTGCTATTAATGGAGTGTGGAGTCTGGAAAAATTTCCACTTACATAAAAGGGTGAAGAAAATGAGGTGCCAGTGTTGCTTGACCTATCTTACCACACAACAAATTATGATTCGAGTATGTGCATCATTTTCATAGATAGAACACCATAATTATATGGTGAAAGTCTTTGTCAATCACATCTATTATAATATTAAATATTATCCATGGTCACATTTTCTTGATCTAGACATTTTCCTATGAAGAACAAAAATGCAACAAAAGAAATTTTATATGCCTAGCTATGCTGTCCACAATGAGCTAACCTTGTGCACAACTAAAAAACCATTCCTGCCTTCGTCTCTGGTTCGACAACTACTATATACACACACCGTTACCACTTAAACAAAATTAGAGATTTAATAGTAGTCCAGCAAATGCTAGTAGCATGAGCATAGACAATAACATAAAATGAATTTTATGTTATATAGACGTGTCCGTCAATAGCGTGATATATGTAATGACTTCATCAATCTTGAGATTTACCGGTCCAAACTCAATCCTATAAAGGTGCTCATAGGGCTATAGGGTACTTAACACATACATCTCACAATGCTGTGTTTTTTCGAATGTTATCTTAGAAGGGCGGGCCTGGTGCAAGAGGTAGAGTTTTACCGCCTGTGACCTGAAGATCCTGGGTTCGAGTCGCGGTCTCCTCGCATTGCACAGGCGAGGGTAAGGCTTGCCACTAACACCCTTCCCCAGATTCCGCACAGAGCGGGAGCTCTCTGCACTGGGTACGCCCTTTATCTTATTGTTACCTCTCATGATGACATATCCACCTCTTCATCAGATGCTAGGAAATTAAACTTCCTTCATTATTAGAATGGAGTATTTTTCTTATAAGTTAAATTAAAAAAGGTTGTATTAGATGTAACATTTTTTACTTCTAAGTTATATTGTGTATCTTATGAACTGAGTGTACCTCCCTTATTAGATTTCTTTTGGTGGAAGTGGAACCTACCGACCCAAATTCAAGTCCCCACTTGAAGTGAGTGCTCGTATTTTTTGGATTTATTCCCTGAGTTAATAACATATTTCAGTGGTATGCGTCATACCCATCGATAATGAAGTGCATATGGTGACTTAATCTCGTGATCTATTAGCTCAATCTTTCATAGGTGATCATAGGCATAAGGTGTGCATGCGTGCATCCATAGGTGAGTGTGCACGTGAGCGATTGTGTTTGTATTGTGATTCATGTATATATCTCTTATAATTCTATTATTATATTATGTCACCTGGTAAAACTCCATATGAGGTAGAAGCATGCCAAGATACATGTAGCCCTCCTCACTAGTTACCCTCTAATCAATTTTCGACAACCTACCTCCTCTCTAGTAGCCTGGGCAATGCTCCTCTTATTGCATCCATAACTTTTTCGGCTTGTCATTGCATGTTGTCTTATCTGTTAACCATAGCATGAAGCAAACTCATAGCTAGATGCGGTTGGATGCAACATGAATACATTCTATAGCACCCCTAAAAATGAATGCAAACATCCACCCTGAAAAAATGTAGATGTAAATTCTATAGCACCCCTAAATGCAAACATCCACCAAAAAATGTTGATGTGCAGATCTATACTCGTCTCGTGTAGTATGGTGCATGATCCATACTTTCTTTATTATAATTTTTCATATACCTATGGAGAACTTTTTTCTACAAGTTAGCATGATAGCGCCATAGTCCGCGGTGCCACTAAACCTTCTATGTATCATGCATATACCATACTATGCACCACTAATCTTTTAGCCACATAATCCAAAGCTGAACTAAGCTACGGCTTTCAAGGGAAATTGGTCAATCCACATCACGTAGTTTGTAAAACAACGGTGATGATGTCAAACTTATTTACCACTATATTTCTTTTTGTAATGATGGAGCTAAAGCACCATGCACCACCCTAGCATTTTGTGAAAAAGCTACTTTAAGGAAATTACATACTTATTAATTTTCATCTAAGATGCACATATAAGATCCTTTTAACTTGTTCGTATTGCGTTTTGGTAAATTGTGAAGTTTTATGTTGAAATGTTACATTATAAAAGTTATATTAAGTTGGATGATACAAGCAAGAATTATGTCTATCCGAATGTGTATACATATATACAAAAAAAAAACAATTTTACCAACTCTCGTCTTTCAAGAAAAACAAAAAAAAGAATTTTTACCAACTTTCTGATGTGTTCAAGATAATGGCGGGGAAGAGTACCATTTCAATTCCGATGGGCGCTGCGCTAAGCCAGCCGGTTTCTCCTTCACGTGTGTCATCAATCTCAAATCGCTTTGACTTCTTCCTCCAAGGAACAGGAACACCGGTGAGAAAAGGGGGACGAGTCGACGCGAATTGCAATTGCAATTGCAATCAGCCAATCAATCAAGGCTGCTTTCCTCGTTCAACCCACGACGACTAAAGATGGCAATGGGCCCCGATCCTCGATTCCCCGCGGGGAACTCCCCTACTAGGGAATGGGGATAGGATCAATTAACCCCCCACGGGGATTTAAATGGTAGAAAATCTTCCCCTGTCGGGTCTAATGGGGCCGGGTCTGGTAGATTGTCCCCCGTCCCCGTTTCTCAAAGCCTATACAACCTGTTTACTCGGCGCATCAAAGCCCAAGTCGAATATACATATATATAAGCAGCAGAAAACTTAACTGCCCCCTAGTCCTCATCCTCTCCTCTCCCTGTCTCGCCCGCCGCTGCCACATTGCTTAACCGCATGCCGCCTGCACCACACCCCGCGCACTACTGCAGTCCACAAGGTGACCCCATGGGAGCACCCGCGCGACCCTCCAACAGCGGCGGCGCATCCACGTTTGGCTCTCCATCGGCAGCAGAGGAGCATCACGTGTGGCTCCCTAACGGCAACAGCACGCGGCACCCTACAAGCAGTAATGCGTGCAGCGCGGGTCCCCTAGGCCAGCGGTGGTTTCTTGAAGCAGGTAGGCACTGGAGCTTAAGATCAAGACCTAGGTGGTGTTTGGTTGCCACTTCTAAATTTTAGTCGCTGTCCCATTGAATGTTTGGACACATGTATGGAGTATTAAATATAGACTAATTACGAAACTAATTGCATAGTTTGCGACTAATTTGCGAGACGAATCTTTTAAGCCTAATTAGTCTATGATTTGACAATATGGTGCTACAGTAAACATATGTTAATGACGGATTAATTAGGCTTAAAAAATTCGACTCGTGGAATACTGACGGATTATGTAATTTGTTTTTTTATTAGTATCCAAACACCCCATGCAACATTCTCCCAACACTACCTCCTAAATTTTAGTCAGCAAATCCCAACACCACCCGTTCATGCTCATTAATGTGTTTCTTCTTGCTATTTAGCAATTTCTAGATTGTGATCCGTGCTGTACTCTAATGTTATATTGATGACCTTTGTAATTGGTGATGAAATGACCGATCGTGAATGGCGATAAATTAATGCTTATGCGGAGATGGGGATCCGACGAGGAATTTTCCACATGCGAGGATGGGGATATGGGAGAAAGTGTCCCCGTGAGCTTTGGCGGGACGGGACGGGGACTTTTTCTCCCCGCGGGGACGGGGATGGAGAGGCATTCTCGAACGACGACGCAAGCTCGATCCGTGACAAACAACAAACCGCATTAGAAACCAAGCAACAACGGCAAACCCATCACATCATCCATCGCGCCATAAGCCAGTGAAGTGAGGCCGCCGAATTTGGATCGATCGAATCGAAGAAAAAAAAAAGAAAGGAAAAAAAAAGGCGAAAAGGAAATCGTGCCTTGAAGCCTCCTCTTCGTCTTCGTCGTCTTCTTCCTCCGGCGGCGCAGGCAGGCGTCTCGTCAGCGTCATCTCTATCCTCGCGGCGCAGGCGCGAGCGAGGAGGAAGTGGAGGCAAGGAGGAAAGCGAAGCAACGGACGCCCGCCGAAAGAAAAAAAAAACTGACCTTTTTCTCCCTCTTTCTGCTCGCATTAAAATCCCCCCCGCTCCCCTGCTCCCAAATCCCGAGCTCTCCCCCTCTTCCGTCCCCTGCCCTACCTCGCCGCCGGCGGCGCGCAGATCGCGGCCCCTCGCCCGCACCGATAGCCCCCGCCCACCTTACCGTCCGTTCCTGCTCGGGCGACGGCGATTCCTGCACCGCCGCCTCCAGCACGGCGGTTCCTGCATAGCCTCAACCCTCAAGTCGCCCGCCTCCTCCAGCGGCTGCTAGGCGGCGCCTCCTCCAGCGCCGGCGAAGAAGCAAGCGGCTAGCGGCTCTCTCTCTCCCGGGGGTGGCCATGGTGGACATCAGAGAGTGCTCGCCGGTGCCCGAGTCCGTGCCGGCGCACCCGGACCCCGCGTCCGTGTCCCCGGACGCGTGGCGGCGCTTCGAGACCGCCGCGCTCGCCGTGGTCAACAAGATCCAGCCCACCGCCGCCTCCGAGCAACTCCGCGCTGCCGTCATCGAGTACGTCCAGCGCCTCTTCTGGTTCCAAGCCCGGTATCAGGTATTCATTCATTCCCCTCACCTTCCCTGCTACAGTTGTTTGCGGTCTCAGTGTTCTGTAGCTTAAAGGCTCGTCGATTCTTCAATTGCATGGGCGAGTGAAACACCTAGTTTTTTTTTTATCAGCATCTGTTGTGCTATGAGCCATCACATTCTTCAGATTATGCAAATGGTTGTTTAGGTGCTTTAGGAGGAATACATAGAGTTTTAGTGCCATTTTTCGTATTTTAGGAATTGAGGTCATCGAATTGAAGCTAAAGATACACATTACATGTTCCTTCATACTGCTTACTGCTGAGTTGCTAGTTACCATGCTTGTGATTTCACTTAGCTGTGCTCTAGTTGCTGTCTCTGGCATGTGATTTTCCTAACCCTAGTGATTGCCACGCGAAACCGGTATGTATATTCAAACCCTTGCCGTTTTTTGCTGGGTACTTGAGGTGTCAAGTGTTTATTGGTGAATGAGTACAGAGTCGTACTGATTTGCTTTGTCGGTTGCGCGCTTGAGCCTCCACGTGCTTCGGCGGGGAGGACCTTTAATGGGACTGTGAATTGGCTGTTGGAGGCATGTTATCACATTAAACACAGTGAAACTGATGATCGTGGATTGGAGGGCTGGACATACCTTGTATCTTACTGTCTTCTTTTTCTGTGACGTGGAACTCCGTAGGTTACTCATGTTACCCGAGAAGGAACAGCTGCATGTCTGCTATGCCCCAGTCAAGTCAGAACATCTTGAGTTCAGCTGGAATGGTCTGTTAGGATGTAATTGTAGGATTGAATCATAGAATCTAAGATCTTGCCTGATTTAATCTGAGATACACATGTAGCATTTAAAATATACCATGTCATTCATTTAATAATAAATTTCTTTCATTGTACATTAGATTAGAAGCATGTAAAATAATAGTCCAGATTAATTCTCTCTCCTTGCCTATGCAAATAATTAAATATATGAGTGAGTAAAAGGTGGACCTTTATTCATAATTGCGTACTAGGATTGGTCGAATCAGGTAGGATTGTATTTAAACTGCTATTATGATTTTACCAAACTTGTGCTAGAATCATGGAATGTGAATATTGGACGAAAAAGATCCTATCTTAGGAGCGAACCAGTCAATAAATCTAGGATCTTATCATGTGATACTTTAATACTTGATGTTTTCTGGCTGGCTGTGTTATGGAGGTTGTTTTCTTATTGCTGTTTGTACAAGCGGACACATGAGACCTAGCAAACGTTTGTTAAAACTTGAGATTGGATACAAGGCACAGAGGGTTAAGTTGAACTATTTATGAAATCAGTAAATCAATTAGGCGCATTACGTGTTTGCTTCTACCAGATGTTCACATGTATAACATCTGACTACTACTAGTGGCACTTCTGTACATGCACATGAGTGAAATATCATTGTTCTACCAAATTTTGTGCTGCTCTGGTGCTTTCTTGCTGCTATTGTAATGCCATGTCAGACAGAAAGACCTACAGTCTAACCTCCTGTGTTTGTGAAAAATAGGTCTTTCCATTTGGATCTGTTCCATTGAAAACATATCTTCCTGATGGAGATATTGACTTGACATTATTCGGCCCAGCGATTTCTGATGAGAATCTAGCAAATGAAGTATGTGCTATTCTAAAATCGGAAGAGCGAAGGAAAGATTCTGAATTTGAAGTCAAGGATGTCCATTATGTCCCTGCTGAGGTATTTCACTCTGCCATATCAATCTTTTTTTTATAGGTACCATATTGCTCTTTGTTTCGAATATATTTAATTTGAGGTCAACCATCACTAACCATCTTTTTAGAGTTTTCATTTATTGAAGGTGGTTGTTTTGTATGCATTCCATTTGTTTAATGAACTTACTTTTACAATTCCTACATTCTACTTATAAGTGCTTATTTGTGCACATTATGTAAAATTGGAGAAATACCATTTTATTGTACTTAAATGCAACTCTTCTCCATCTTGCGTATTACATCTTTGGAGCATATGGAATTATGAATATGCCAATATTTCATCAGGTACTGGCTGACTATAAAAAGGAAAAAAGTAGTTACCAATACTCATAACATTTTCAATCGCTGTTTTTGAGGGTTCTTGCACTCTTGCTATGCACAGTAGTGTGGCATATATTAGTGGAGAAATCCATCTTGTTTTGTATGTGTTGGCTAGGGACAAATTTTGGGCACATGCGAACTTCTTGTTTCACATATTGTTGTCTGATCATAAATCTCCCTGGTGGCAGGTCAAGCTGGTTAAATGTTTGGTACAAAACATTGTCGTAGACATCTCAGTTAATCAGATTGGTGGGCTGTGCACACTATGTTTTCTTGAGAAGGTAATATTTCAAATGTTGCCATAAAGATGGAGTTATGTAGTTTTTTGTCCATAAAACTCAGATTTGATACTCTTAATAAGATGAAAAAAATGTTCCCTTGCCTTCCTACTATACATAGGATCTAAGAGGATTAGTTCCACTTTGTGGTTCCTTATGTCATACTGCATAGTGATAAGCATATTGATAATAAATAATTTTTCTGTAGGTCGATCAAAACTTTGGAAAGAATCACCTGTTTAAGAGAAGCATAATGCTTGTCAAAGACTGGTGCTATTACGAAAGCCGTATTCTTGGTGCCCATCATGGTCTAATATCCACATATGCCTTGGAGACTTTAGTTTTATACATTTTCCATATCTTCCACAAGTCTTTGGATGGTCCATTGGCTGTAAGTTATGTCTTAAATTTTTCTGCTGCTTTTTTTTGCCATGTTATATTGACATTCTTCATGATACATACCTTCCTATGGGTGTGATGACTACATGCCCTTCTGCAGGTCCTCTATAGATTTCTTGACTATTATAGTAAATTTGATTGGGACAATAAGGGGATCAGCTTGTTTGGATCTGTTTCCTTGTCTTCACTACCTGAGCTAGTTAGTAAGTGAATGCACTCTTAAGTGTGCAGAATGTTGTCTATTTTCGATTGCAATTATTGGTCATTGACATGCTTTTGTTGAACAGCTGACCCACCAGATACCGAAGATGATGATTTTCTTCAACGAGAGGAGTTTCTAAAAGAATGCACAGAGTCTTTTAGTGTTCTCCCTAGAAATTCGAGACAAATCCTAGAGTATTCTCACGAAGATTTCTAAATATAGTTGATCCACTAAAGCAGAGTAATAACCTTGGACGCAGTGTCAGTAAAGGTTTGCTCCTGCCTCTGGATCATCAATTATGATAATAGAAATAAATAATGTATTCCTGAATTTTCTCTTGTCAATTAAATCTGTCAATAAGACTCTCAACTTGATGTTCCAACCTTAAACCTTTGTATGAGCCCATTTGCATAAGGACTTACAGTGCCAGTCAGAGAAAAAAAATCCTGCTTCACTTGTTTTTGTCAAGTTTGAATATTTATTCCACAGACTGCTCAGCTAAACTTTTGAACTGTCTGTGCAAAATTTACAAAATGTTTCATTTCATGATTTGTGGTTTTATGACCTCGTCTCATTGAATCCTTTTGCCTACATCATCACACTATCTTTTCACCTAATGCGTGATTGAAGTGGACTGCCCTCATCCATTGTTGTACTGCTTCGTAAGTGCTTATTCAAATATGCTGCTTCCATATCTACCCTGTCCAAAACTTCAAATCTATAATTCTTGCTACCTAATGTTGTATTGACTGCCGTTCTTCTACATTGCTGATGCACACCCAAGAGTTATCATTTCAGTTTTGCATAGAAGAAACTGTTGCCATTTAAGAATATAGTATGTCTACACTCACTTACCAGCCACCCATTGTGCTGCGCCTAAGCAGTAAGCACAATCTGCAACACCTTTTCACCATTTCGCACTACATTAATATCACATGCTGCTGCCATTTCTCCATCAGAACATGGGTACTGATCTCATTATGTTTTGAGTTCGTGGGTATTTATGCTTTTCATTTGATTTACAGGAATAGCTTTCTTGTGGTACACAGCTGAAGTGCTTCATTCTAATATTTCTTTTTCTAAAAGAATTTTATCTTTATTGCACTGCTCCGTGCGCAGGAAACTTTTACCGGATACGCAGCGCATTTGATTTTGGTGCTCGTAAGCTTGGCAAGATTCTTCAAGTGCCTTCTTGTCTCACTGTCAGTGAAGTCAATCAGTTTTTCAGGAACACTCTAAAGAGAAACCGTACTGGTTTAAGGCCAGATGTTTGGGTGAGCTCTTCTGATCTTGTTACAAATGATCCTGTATCATCAGTCTTAGATGTGGAAAGAGTCAACAAGGTTACGCCCAACAATTCCTGCGATGTTCTGTCTAATCATCTCAGTAACATCAACATTTCAGATTCCAACAATCATGGCCCAGTAAAGCAAAAAGAATGTAACTCTATGGCTGACCACAAGGAGATAAAATCTGTTTCTTGGGGTTTGCTAGATAGTGATGCCACGAGTCACACAGCTACTGATTCAGTAAGTTTAAGGGGTGGTGGTGACTTCTCTGAAGCTTCACCAACACCTAGTGAAACCTGTACCTTGCAATCAGAAACCGGCAAGAAGGTTTATGTTAGAAATGACACAATCCCATCATACCATGGGGTTTCAGCAAAGCAGTTTCCAGGCAGGTCTCACCACTATATTGACAATGCTAAGCATAATGCTTACTCCTATTCTACTGGCTTAATTGATGGTCTGGGCACATCTAATTCAGTTTCAACATCAGATACACAACCTGGAGGTACCACCAATGACACAGAGCCAAATCTCACTGGAGATTTCGATACAAATTTGCATAATCTTCTGTATGCACGGGGTTTCCATCAGGACAGTCCTACGACTCAGTTATACTATCCAATGCCTATGCCACCACCCCTGCAATATCAGAACATGCACCCATCAAATGGCCATGGCAGAAAAAATCCGTATGGATATGCTCGTAGGAATGGAGTCGTCCCTGGTCCTGTTTATCCACCTGGCTATTTTGTGTATAGGCCATTGTATCAAACAGATGATCATATGGCTACGAGGGCTCGTGGAACAGGCACCTACTTTCCTGACCCAGTACGTTCCCTCCATGAGCATTCATCTTATGTTCTTAAAACTTAAAGGAACATCTGGTACTTGTTCATATGTTCGTTTTCTTCATTCCTCGTGCTGTACGTGTGAACAGACATGCTAGTTTTCTTGTAATTCAGTTTTCATGAGTTACTATTCTTTTGTATGCAATGATTTGTCCATTATGCTTCTGTTTTTTACTTCAGAAGTGTTACTTTTCCTAGGTTTGTCCTCAAATTTTTATAGCTTGACAGTTTTTGTCTTGTATTCATGCTAATTTTGTCTGCCTCATGGCACACTTCAGAATTTGCGCAAGGAAAGACCACCTCCCCCCCGCGGGGAGAGAGGAAGGAATCATTCCCATCAGAATAATTATCAAAAGTTTCACCACCATGTCCGACCGGATATGCCTGTAGATATGATACCTTTTGACGAATTGAGGCATGAGCCACCACTGCAGATATACGCTCCTAGTGCAAATGATCATGGAATCCCATCTCCAATGAATATACTAATACCATCACCATCTTCCCAGTCTCCAAGGGATCCTTTGAATGTACCAATGCATTCTCCATCTTCCCAGGTTCGAAAGGATAATTTTCATGGCAATGGTTTTATGCTCTTGCAAGACAGTAAACTTGAGTTTGGGACCTTGGGGGCGTTGCCAAGGGAAGTTGCCTCCAAAGAGCATGCTAGCAGATCAGGTTCTGCCTCCAACAATCAAGGTTCTGGGCCTGTGACTGTGAGTCCCATGTCTGTGGCGAAAAACACTGGAATGGGTCCCAATGGAATGAGGTAAGTGTGTTGCGATATTTTAGTTGCCAATACCAACAATTACTATCTGATGGGAAGAACATGCAATTAGTATGCTAGTCTATTGTTTGGTGTGAGTGAGTGTTGTACGGGTTCCAACCCCTTTTTCTTCTTAATATAATGATAATCAGCTCTCCTTGCGTATTCAAGGGAGAAACATGCAATTAGTGGACATTTCCATGCTACAAACAATGAGATAAATTTGGCTCTTTGTTAGGTTGGTGTTTTTGTAAAATTATCTAGATGCTCTTATTGTTCACTTTTGGGCAATTGATATATGAAGTAAATTATACTGTAGCCCCTAAACTTTCAATTACGTGTTGTTTAGGTTTTTTTAATTGGTAGTTACAAATAATGTGAGATTATTTAAATTGCCATTGGCTACATGATTATCATGTAAGGTCAACAAATATTAGATATCGTTGGATTTGCAAGAGGTTTTTTCAGATGTGTTTGGACAGATTTTTACTTGCTTATTTAGACCATGTTTGGGGTATATATGTGAAGTTCTCAAATCCATGGATGTTGTGCTAGTTGGAATTAAGACATGCTTTTGGCTAACTCTAACCATGTCTGTTTCCTCTGTTGAAAGTTGAGCTTGAAACTGCGCTCCTTTTGAGTTTCACCTTGAAGATTTTCCACTCAATTTCCAGAGTTTACAATGGCTGAACACATATACCATACGATTTGCAGGAATGTTCAAGTTCAACCATACCGTCTCAAGGACAGTGGTGACTTCCCGCCACTATCCAGTTGATGTCGATTCTGTGTGTATGAGAGGCAACAGGATAATGATGAATGGTGTGCTCCTGACGCAGGAATGGGACACCATGTCAGGGCGCCGAGTTCTTTGGCAAACGCATAAACCACGCTGTACATCCTGTTTTTTCTTCCTTTTTCTGAGTTGCCATAAGCACTGTCACTGCAACGCAGCCTGTGCTTTCTGTAACTGAGCTTTTTTGCGAGAAAAGAGAAGTAAAAAAGAAAAAGAAAAAGAAAAGAAAAAAAGAGAGAAGGAGAACAAGAAATGGAAGGGAAAAAAGGAAAGCAAAAGGGCTCTGAAACTGGATGACATGTAGATACTTTTAGGGGTACAGCCCCTTGTGGCCTTGTTTCAGTTTTACAGATTATGGCGTCCCTCGAAGGGGAACAGATATGCTAGGGAAAGTAATAGAGGCTCCGTTAAACCCATTGAAAAAACTAGCCAAAAATCTTTGTTTACTGATTTATTGTGAGAGAAAAACATTGTTTCAATTTGAAAAAACAAAGCTGAAAAAAGGCGGATTATAAGAGCTAGCTAGTTTTGTTGTTTTGACCTCAGGATCATTGCTCATTGGAGAACTGGATTTTGTCCATGTCCACGTGTAATGAGGATAGAGTTGTAGCCCCTTTTTGCATGTAGAGGGAGGGAGGTCTTGTGTTGAAAGGCCCCAATGTTCGAAGTTAATTTAGCTGCTTTAAAATGGATTAGGTGATGCAGAATGTGTTAAACTTACTAGTCTTAAAAGAAGCTTTAGTCTTTGCCAACCGAAAATGCCTTTGTTGTGTGTTCCTGTATATGCATAATCTGTCCCATTTGTAACCTAGCATTATGCTGTCTTGAAGCTCAATGTCTCATTTTCTCAGGTAAAAAGAAAAAAAAACCTGCACTGTCCAGTAAAAAAATATATTCAAACATCGTAAACATTCTCTATCATGTCACTAAAATGAAATATGAAACTTGTTGATATTCTTTGTTAACCATATTTGCCAAAAGAAAGTGTCTACATGTGAATCAGGATTCTGACTCGATGGATGCACCTGCAATATTAAATTTGAACTGGGATAAATAGGCTGATGAATTCTGAATTATTTCTAGAAGTGCTTTAAATTTGAACTGGGATAAATTGGCTGATCAATTCTGAATTATTTCTAGGAGTACTTTAGGTCGTACTGCAACCCTGGTCATCCAAAGGGTGCAAGTGTCTATATAGTGAAGGCCTGATTTCCTTTCAAAACAATTTGCTTGGGCCAACCTGCTCTGCTAATATTCTCATTGTGTGTCTCTTTCAGGATGGGCTCGTTGGTAGACTCACCAAACATGCATGATGCATGTAATGGATTAGTCAAAATTTCAAACTGCAATAATTGGCCCAAGCATAAACTGCCAACCAACCTCACCCAATCCAAACCTCGAAATCTAGCATGTAGGGAAGCAGAGGCCTTTCACTTTCAAGTCACACCGGCCTGAAAGGTTCAGTAGATGGATAAACAAGAAACCCCATTGCATGTTTTAAAGGACATTTTATTGCACTTGTGTGAACCGAAAAATGTGGGTAAAAATCCATTTTTCTTTTTAAAAAAAGCATTCATTTTGTTAGTTTGTTGAATATTTGAGATATCTTGTTGGATACAAATATGGTGCGGATATTGCTCATCTTTTATCTTACCAACCCCTTTATTTCTTTTTTCATACAAAAGTGGAACATATCTATTGTGAATTATTAGATTGTAGAGGAACACATCGCGATTTTCCACGCATATGTCATCTGATCCATATAGGATATTGTCTATCCCATTTCACCACAACTGATAACCAATAATTCTGTTTATTTATTTCCATATGTGATGTTACACTGCAGTAAACAAGTAGCAATTATTTCCACAAAATATTGTACCTATAGACTGAGGTCAAACTAACTAACATGCTGTACGTATGCACTTCAATTATGCTCACTTTTATAGTGTTGATTGATGAATTGGGGGTGGGACGTATAGATGTTAACAGTAGATTCTACTACATACTCTATTATTGCAGTCAATGTTTAGAAAATTTAAGATTTGATTTGGCCAAGCTGCTCTTGTATTAGGTGGGCCTTCAGGAGCTGCAGGGGCAGAATAAGAAGATGTGGACTGAGTCATGCAAAATGGTTCATTTAGGGTGCGCTTGGTTTCCATTCCCCTTGTAAAAGGAAAATAAATCAACCGTGTCTTAAACACATGTTTCCTCCTATATCGCCTTTTTGATAGTATGAAAAAAAAAACTTGATCCACGGTGGCTAGACAGCTCCTGGGTGTTCCACCTTAAGAAAAAGACATTCTCACAGTCAACAACCTGCTCCTTTTAGAGGAAATAATAAGAGTCAAATACCAAATTTTGACTCTTCAATTTGTTGAAAGTTGATTCTTTTTACAGAAGCACTTGGCTCCCAAGTCAACGGGGTCAAATGAACAATTGACCCTTATGCTTGTTATATCTAGACAAATTTTGTGGCGATTCTTTCTTCAAGGGCCATTTTTCGCTCCTCCGATCCCAATTGCACCAAAATCGCATACGTTGCAGAGTTGACTTAGCGCTGCAATCTGTCACAGCATTCTGATCCCCTAGTGGATAACAATTTTGATCTTTATATATTTTTTTCTCGAACGTGCCATTGGCACGGTATTCATTAAGCAGAAGGAGAGTTTTACAAATTATTACAACTGGGACGGTAATTTGTGGTTACCGAACCAAACACCGATAGAGCTCACACAGTTGTGATTACAAAAGAAACTACGTAGCGGCCGCGCAGAGGACCAAGCAAAGGGACAAACAAACACAGCAGTCCGTGAACCCAGTGGCTAAAAAGCGTCCTGCTCGAAGCCAGTGAGGTTGAGCTCCATGGCCACCGGATCGAAATCTGGAGCGAAGAATGCATGAAGGGTCTCCTGCTTGGAGGGCGACAACGGCTCAGCGAAGAAGGTCTTGATACTGTCCAAGGCCGCAGGCTCCGGACTCTGCGCCATGTTTGCGATCTCTAGCTTTTGCTTCAGCACGTTTTGTGCCTGGGCAGTCGGGTAGGAGGCCTTGGCCTTAGCAGCAAGCCTCCCACTCTGACGCACCGACAACACCGTTGAAGGTGTCCTGAACCTCCTCAACCTCGGCTGGCTGATCAAAGGGGTCTCGAGCGGGATGCATAACCGCGCCTCCAATTATGTCAATAGGGACACATCAACCAATAGAGGTTAAACGTTATGGCCTTCATTGTCAGTCGAAGACCCGCGGCTGGGCCTCAACAGCTCAAGCTCCACAGTCGATGGAGGTTGATCTTTATATTGGATCTTTATGAATTATTGAGGGGCATGGTATGTCTGCCGAGTGCTGACTGCTGGGCATAGCTAGTGGCAGCAGGTGTCAAGTCATACTGGGGCCCAAAATTCATTTTGCCTGGGTACTAAGCCAATCTTTGAAGTTGTGGTTTGCAGCTAGCTAACTGAACTTTTGTCAAAGAGCCACGTCGTCCAGCTCAAAAGTTTTGTCTCTCGTGTCTGCCACATAAGCAGACAGCGATCATTTTGCACACATAGTTTATTTAGCAAAATAATTGTACTTTGGTAGGGACAGTACAGATGCTAGTACCATCCATATATACAGGAGAAGCTAGTTTGTACCCACTCTTATCCTGAAAAAGACTACCATTCTAGCTGCGTCTTAAGTCAAACCATCGTAATTAAATTGATATTAATGTTTTATATTAAATTAGTAGCATTAACTTTTCTCAAAATGTATTTCATAGTATATCTATTTTTTTAGATAAATGATAGTTTATATCCGGCTTCATCTACCTCAGGGTAGAATCAGGCTAATTATTATAAAGTTCGGTACAGCGACCAGCACACAACCCACAGGGATCACAAGCTTACAAGTAGACACTAGGAAAACAAAGCGGGAAGTAAAGTTCTGACTAATGAAGACCAATAAACCTAGTCAATAACCATTCATTGGAATTAAAGAAGTGCAATATTGATGTCTCCAGATGCTGCCCAATAAAAATCAGCTGATCCCGTAGATCATTACGCCGTTGCAGCCTTGCCCATTGCCATAGCCAATGGGTTCCCCTGAATAGCACCTGCAAAAAAGTTTTCGGTCTGCATTTGTCAAAAACTACTTCATTTCTTGTTAACCAGATTGTCCAACATAAAGCTGACGCTGCAGTTAATAACAATGAATTATGTATGTTACCACCCGCCTTAGACCAATTAACAAATAAATCATGTATACTGAGGGGGGGGGTTGATAACCCAAACATTAAGTGTACAGCACGCCACAAGAACTTAGCATAATAACATTGGAAAAAAAGGTGTTGAATAGTTTCTGGATGGTGACAGAAGCAACATTTCGTATCACAATTCCAGTTGTATCATAAATGTCGATATTTTCTCCATAAACTTAGTGAAACTAGGATAGTTTAACTTTTGACAGATAGACTATATATGATCCCTGATATATTGCAAATTAAAAGTGGTTATTATCTTGTGTTTTATTTTGCAATACACAAAATAGATGCTTACGTACACGCACATATTCTACCTCCACGAATGTCTTTGTGATATTTTGGTGAAAACACCAGAAACCCCCTTGCAGACGAGTAACTCAACCCAGATGGACACGATCCAACACAAGAAACCTAACCACTTTTTTTTAGAATCTGGAGGGGCTTTGGCCCCTACAGTATTTATTGAAAACAGAAAGGAACAAAGTGCAAAATTAGTTCAAGAAACAAAGAAAGAAGAACCTAACCATTTGAGTTAGGCTCAGCAAACGGTCATGCTCTTTGTTGTGTAGATAATCCAGGCTGGATTGTTCTCATAGATAGAAGAGACATGTGGCCTTACACGTACTCCATTTGAAGACGTCGTATGCATGATTGGTCATTGCTAATAAGGAGCAGTTGTGTCGCCATCAGTGGGGAACCGTCTTCAGGTTTGAGCCGGTGGTGGTAGTGCTACTCGTACCCC